CACGAAGTCTCAGAGCACATATGCTTTTGAGATGTCGTGTGAACCATATGACCCAAAAAGGATTTCTTATTTTTAAACTGGGTCATGACTCCAATAACTTTCATATTCCCAGCTGACAAGAACACAGATCTCACAAACAGCAGGGACACCACAGCCTGAGAGCTTTCAGAGGCTGCCATACCAGCACCAGTGACCATCTCCAATGACAGAGCACTCGGATTCCAAGTTACTCGTGTTTAAGCAATGCAGGAGCACTGTCCCATCATTTCAGCAGGGAGAAGGTGCTTTTCTAACGAACATTTATCATTTTCTTTTCCAAAGCTTTGTTTATAACCCAGCCACTGGGTTCTCGCTAGACTGACTTTTACCATGCAAGGAACATAGTTAGGGGGACTATTTTTAAATGAAGACTTAAATAACAGTACTACTTTTAAAGAGAGACTTCAGTATCTCCTTTAACTGACTTCAGACTAGAAATGTGCCAACAAGGCACAAGATTGCATTTACTTTAAACAGGCTACCTCACAAAGGGAATGACTGGTTAGTTTTCTCAAGGTTACTAAGAACATATAGCATTTACATCATTTACAACAGATTTCACACTTGCAGAGCATCTTGTGTTCCAAAGAACCAAAAAAACCCAACAAAAACCCCCAAAACACATTGCAGATTTATAGGCAGCTGAGGCCTAACCGATTCACTTTTGTCACCGAAAAGAGGCCACTTCCTGGGTGATGCATAGCAACAGTCTACACTAACCAAGAACAGTAAGCCTGTTTGTTTATGGCAGTGGAGGGAATTTAAAGCCTGGATTTTAAAACAGAAAGATCACTACTGAACAATGCTTTCCCCGGAGAGATGCCCTCACAACTTGAGGATGCTGTGCAGTCAACACCAAAAATGTGCTAAATCCTGCAGTATACTAAAAGTATGCTTATTCTATATTACAAGGGTTTGATGGTAAAACTATACCTGAGTAGCATTTACTGTCAAAGGAGAGTTTCAGACTAGTTTTAGTCACAGAAATTAAAACAAATTATACCATCAAAATATGGGGACAGGACTGAGCTTCTGCAAACCATGCAAAGTTTGTTCATGTAAGCAGGTGAGGAGTAACTGCACAGTCAATGGAGTATCTGTAAAACTTTAGGGTCATCTTTGTGCATTTTGCCTAACAAAACTACCAAAGTCACAGGTCAATTTGGAACGAAGGCTGAGAAGTGCCAGCCAGGGGTATCTGAGCCTACCTCTGAGGGTCATGTGCACAGAGGGAAGTGCCAAACTTGGGTATTAGGTTTGCGCTGACCATTTGCATGTTTGTAGATTTTCAGTTCTACACATAGCCTGGGATCGGTGTCATTCTAATAATAATCTTCTGTATGGCATATAACAGCTCTAAATTCATCTTCCCTTACTGAAATGCCAGGGCTGAGTCCAATATGCACTTATGAAGGTCAGCATAGGCAAAAAGGTGATGTAGGGAAGTGGAAACAGATTACCAGTGCTTCCCTTAGACCCAGACTCATTCATAGGCAGGTATTTCCCTGCTTAAGGTAAAAAAAAAAAACAGAAAAAGAAAAAAAAAGTGTTCTTGTATTGAAGTCTGCAAGGTAAAAGTACAGTACTTGAATATTGCTTAGATACTGGATTTAACAGAGAACATAATATTGTGAGGTAAGGAAGGAAAGCCAAGGATAACAGTCAGAAGGATATAAAGATCAGTAACTTTTTGTTCACAAACTGATAGAGCGTAAGAGTGAGTCAGGAAAACATTTGATATAGAACATCCCTTCTACACTAGTCCCCTTCTACAGATGCACAACAAAAGCCATATTTCCATGCCGAAACATGCATACAGTACCTCTTAAATCTCTAACATGCCAATCAGGAGCAAAGTGAAAAAAGGAAGACAAAGGAATAAAATTAGGATAAGCACAACATAGAGGACTCACATATTCAGTAAGACTCACTCATATTAATTAACATTTCTTTTAAGAAAAACATTCAAATGTGTTCAGCAAACACAGCATCTTTGTAAAAAAAAAAAAAGTAAACATGATAAAGATAATTCTAATAGCAGAGGGGGAAGAAGCCATGGTTACAAAGCAAATCTGACATCATAAATCATCACCGAAACACAGAGGAAGAATTGTTCATTGACAGCCAGCTCCTACTCCCACAGATGTCAGTAACAGAAGCTGCTGGCGTCAGAAGTGTAGGATTCGGATACGTAAAATGAGAAAAGATGAAACAAAATTATTACAACTGAGATTAAAAATAACACCTTATCCTTCCTCCCATAGCAGAATTCATTTTCTAGTCTGTGCAAACAATTCAGGTGTTGTCTAGTTGAGGAGATGGATGGAGCTAACTCTTCCAAGACTGCCTAGTGTGTCAGGTAAAGGTCTGAACTAGATGTTCTGGTCTCAGGCTTGTACTCCATCCCAGAACCAGAGAAGCCAGCCTTGTGTCCTAGTTTCTCAGTTTTTGAAGCTCCTGAGACTGCCTTACGACTCTTTTCCCCATCACCAACAGGTTCACTGGAAAAGTCATCTTTGGCAATATACTACCTCCATCTGTCAGATCAGTGGGACAGAAGAGGAATCTGATACTGACCTCTGCAATGTGCTGGGTTCCTCTTCATACACAAAACCAGTGTTCATTGCTTCAAAACAAAGCTGGCATTTCTCTACATGCACTGCAGAGCACTCACACCAGGCCCAGGGGTAGCTGAAGGCTTTGGTACACCCCTCTTTCTATCAGTTAGAAAGGTGAATCACTGAATGGAGGCTGATCAGAATATGATGTCTGAGAAAAACTGTGATCAGAATTATCTGCTCCCCTGTTTTCTACAGAACACTGAAATGTCTTGAAGCTCTTTTTTCCCCTCTTCTTTATTCTCCCCCTTTCTAGGTCCCATTGCATGATACCTTTTCTGGTGCTGTCCTAGACACTTCTCTCCTCTGACCACTACCCTGCAAACTGAACAGGCCAGCAAGTAAGCACAAAGCAGAGCCAATCCCTGCAAAGCGGGGCCATACCCTTGTGCTAACTGTGAAAAAATTCTTGGATGACCTTACATGAGTTCCAGTGAGCTCTCAGTATCAGCTTGGGTTTGATTTTCAACAGGTCTCTTTTCTGGACAAGCCTCCGTGACTTACATCATTTCCAGTACCAACCAAATTATGGGCTTTCACACCTAGGCAGCTAGCTCTTCTGAAACACCTTTGCCTTCTCCCATGCCTTCAGAATAAATCACTGAACAGGAGGTGTTTCTCTAAGCTTGGAAAATCACTACTCAGTTGTTGCAATGCTTCTATGAGTTAAAAAAACCTCTCTGTTGTTGAGCCTTTTTTCCATTCAAAGTATTTTTAGCATATCCACTTCCTACGTATTTAGGTAATAAATCCAGTTCCCTTCTTATTTCTAGAAGTGCCAATCAGAAGTTTTAAGCACCCCTTTGGTGAAAGAGTACAGCCTAGTGGCAGGAAAATGAAGGATGGGCTTGTTCCACTTCTCTACTTGCCTGTCAAGACAAAGCTTGACACAGAACTTAACATCACACCAGTTACAACTGAAAGTTACTTTTGAACTAATTACGAAAACTGAATGTTGAAGTAACTGATGTATCGACAGAAAATATTAAAAGGGAAACAGCACAGTAAATGCTTTCTTTTCTTTATTCTTTAGGGCAACAGTATTGCTGTGAGCCTAAGGATATAAAGAAAAAGAGGACTTGTAAGGAATAATTGCTTTTCTTAGACCCACTGATACAGCTGGAAAAAATGATCAAGTTTTCATGCTCAGAATCTCTTTCTCACCTGAGACATTTAATGAGATACCCAATGAAAGGGCTCAGCTTAAAGTTTGACTTCTGGATACATCAGCTACATGAGCTGGTCTAATAAAAGACATTACTTCTCCTGCTGAGGTCCTCTGTTACGATATGGAGAAAGGGCAACGAAGGCTTCTGTGCCACTGGATCTGAGCCCTGTCTGAAAAAGGGAACCTGGGGAGCAGCAGAGGGGAATTCACAGTTTCACTGACCTTTTGCTAGCTTGTGACTTACCAACCAGACTATCACTTGAGGAGGGGGAAGGGGATCTATATAATGCTGCCACACCAAATCACTGCTTTTTTGATAAGATCCCGAAAGCTTCCCATAAATCTGCAGTCCTATGAACTGGGCCACCAGACGATGACAGCTATTCGCTGTCACTCTACTGATGAAGTTCTAATGAAGAGTCGACATCATCAAATTAATTATGTCAGTGAGATGGAAGCTGTGGGGTAGTGGTTGTTTTGTTTTGTTTTTAAATCATTATTACTAAGCTTTCAGGAGAAAGGATCAGCAGGATAATACAAAATGATATAGTAACTTGATATAGTCACTCTCGTGTTGCTGATGCTCCAGGAAAGCAGCAGCACCAGCAACTAGGAAGTTACTGGTTAACCAGAGGAGTCAGAAATAAGAACGAGGATAGTTCTGACACTTCAGACTTAATACCTACTGTGCAAGTTTCTTGTGGTTGCCAGTATGTAGGTCAGGCATAAATGGCAGACACACAGGCTCTGAAAATGACATGGATCTCATTCATCCTGCCTACCACCATGGGGACTGAATGCCTCTATTTGACTGAAGGTTTGCCAATTCTGAACTGTGAGAATTTGATGGAATTGCTATGAAAAAAAAAAGAAATAAAGCTAAAGACACAGAGTCTGAGAGTATACATATATCCCATGATAGTACTTGAACCCACCTTAAAAGTGTAACAACACACTTGTAACAATAGTTTTCAGACTTAAAAAAAAAACCCAACCAAACAAAAAGAAAAAAACCCAAACAACAAAAACCCCAAAACCAACCATCCTAAAACAAAGTCTCTGTAGCCTACTGGTAAGAGAAATAAAGTGGCACTCATGATCATCTGGCTAGTCTTGTCCCAAGCTCCTGCAACAAGCACCTATAACAAAGTACTAGTAACATGAATGCTCTGTACCTGCATCTTCCTCTTGACAGTCTCAAAGGGGAAAGAAAGCGTCTGTGCCACACCAGCTGCTACACAGCCATTTATGAAGTTCTGAAGAGGAGTGAAATGAATTATGGGTTCTCGCCAGATTTTGTCCAGATTGATGTAAACAAAGAATGAGCCTGCAGAAAATGGGACAGCACCTAGAAAGCAAACCAGACAGGTTTATATCAACACACTGTACACTAAGAAAACAGAGCTACTCATCACATAACCTAGAAAGGTGGAACGAGCCACTGCCAGTTTACACCTCATATTGCTCAAACCTGATCAATATTTTGAAGAACTTTATTTTTTAGGTTTGGTTTACCACCAAACACCCATATTGTAGCACCTAGATGTGCTGATAGGGGCATATATTTACATATTAAAATGTGCATGTTGTCAGAATTAACTGCTTTAGTCTCATGACAGGTCCGCTCTTTCTCCAGGTTCTCTCTTTTGTGACAAGCTCTTTCTCCAGTCCAACCCAACCCTAGCAGTTGTACAGGTAAACAGAGTTGCCTCTTCAGTCAAGCTGATGAGGGATACTTCTGTCCTCTTTTGCTTATTTCATGCTCTCATCAATTTTATAGTGAGATTATACATTATTATGCATTTTTTATAATGTCATATTGTGAAAAAGTGGACTCAAAGTTAAATGGCAGCTTTAAAAGCTATAGAGAGTAAATAAATAATTAAAAAGCCATTTCATGTAAAGAGAGAATACCACTAATCTTCACTTTTCACATCAATTATACATTACTGCTGATACTGGGTTCACTGAACAGCTAGGGAGACACTCTCACACTTAGATAGGAATTAGGAACACTGTGTGTATATATATTTTTTTTTTTAAAGGGTTAAATGGTGGATATCTTGTATCCGAGCACAACTAGATCATCTATAAAAGGAGAAGAGTATTTTGTTGAACACTTAACCATACATAAAATGCTACGCACTTGGTCATAATTTGAAGCAATAAAGCTGCAGCAGAGGTAATCAGTATTGTCGTGCCTTGTAAATCTACATACCTTCCACAGAAGAACATTACTATTTGCTTTTGAAATCAAGTGAGCAAATGAACGCACTACATAGCTGCAATAAACATTGTGCATTGAGGTGATTTTTCCCCAATATTATTTTACCTAATATAGCTGGTGAAACGCCACGGTAGAGTGCAAGGAGTCCTTCTTGATGATAAATTTTGTAAAAAGCATGAAGAATTCCTTCGTAAGATGGTTCCAGTCGGTTCTGCACAATGAGCCGTGTTTTAATTACGTCAGTGGGGTAAGTCACGATGGTTGCAACCATGCCAGCCAGACTTCCTGCCATGATGGCTCTCCAGTGGGAAATATGACCCAACTCATCCGTGAAAAGTATAACAAGTCTAGAGTAAATACATAAAAGATGTACTATGAATGACAGTATGAACAAAACACATGAAAAACTAAGGCAAATTATTCTTGATGTAATTGTTCTTCTGCCCACAAGCCCCTTCAGCAGCAGGAGTTGAAACTTTAACGTGTATTTCATCCAAGACCTTACTATATATAGCACCACACAAGCATCAGAACCTCTGTGAAACAGAACATGTGAATGGGCAAACATGAGCAGAGTCAAAAAAACATGCCTAAGAGCCCAAAGAGATTTTGGGTAAATCCACACTGCACAGATGTGCAGAAATGCAAAAGTTATAGTTAACAGCTAAGTCAGGGACTGGAATATGTAACTGCAAATGCAATTTGCTTTGATTTTAGTGTTACTGAGCTAAAATACTTCCAGTACCTGAAAGAGCTTTTTTAGAGGCAGCTTGCATAGCTCTACCTGCACCACAGTTCCCAGCACAGCCTAAGCTCACATAGCTCAAGTTGTGGTACTGTGCTGGAGGTCCAGAGCACCAATTCAACAATGAAAAAATCTTCAAAGATACGGAGACTAATGGTTCAAATGATTTACTTGTTTGCTTTGCAAGAGACTTTTAAAGTAATTTTTGACCACAGAAGCCTCATTTACACTTCCATCTACAGGATGGAAATTACCATGACTTAAAACATGCCTGCAAGAAATTCTCTGATCATCAGTTAGAGACATTGGTCCAACCCCCCAGTCAAAGTTATCATGTAAGAAGAAATACATAGATAATGTCACCACAGGCCTTCTGAGAACTGAAACTTCCTCTGTTGCTTATGTTGGGACAGAAAGGTCCACAGGAGTACTTCTCTAGAGAAGACTTATGTCTGGGCACTATTATGCTCAGGAGGTTAAGTCTAAATTTGAAATTTTGAAATTGAAGCACAGAGTTTTAAAGGCTAACCTACAGCTCATGCATTTGTGATGCACAGAAGGACTTTTCTATGTACGCAGGGCACTCCTGCATCAGGGAGAAGTGTCATGGAGGCAGCAAGAAGCAAGTAAAAAGGCTTGAGAGGAGAATCTTAGCTGGAAGTAAAGAAACTTATTATTCTGTTTTGGAAGCATTAACTAAACTGCCTAAACAGCAGATTTACATTTAAACTACACGGTGTTACCATATCCAGAACAAAATAATTTGTAAAGATTTACAAGTCACTGCTTGCTCAGTTGATGTTTTTTCACATGACCGTGCATTTTCTACTGCATGACAGATCCCTGCATCTACTTGTCTCGTCCCCTGGAGAGAGCCCAGACCAGAAAGACTAGCCAAGCAGAATCGAAAGGGCATAAACTTTTTTTCCTATGTGTCTTGTACAGTCCCTAAAGCAACACAGCCTGATTTTCCTGTGTGTACACAAATGCGTGGGGAGGGTGGTGGGGTGTCTCTAGGCACTACCCAGATAACATTTAAAACTGCCACGGAAAGACAGAGTCTGTGCACAGTAACCGCAGGCGGAGTGCAGAGTCAGCTAAACCCCCCCTTCCCCAGCCAGCTCCCCCTGCACCGCCATTCCCGGGGCTGCTGTGCTCAGCCCAGGTCCTCCTGCAATTGGCATTACTATTTACTTAAGTCACTGTGTAACAATGCTCTTTTTGTGTTTCTTGCCTTTATATACACCATTCTCCCACTAGAAAATACATTTAAAAAATCCCCAAATAATGTATCAAGAAATATGTGTAGGCAGCTTTTGTTTAATTTCCTGGTAGCCTACTTCCACTTGTAATTCAAAAGAACACCCTGTGCAAACTAGAGACAAACTATAGCCTTGCAAAGGGAATATACTGTTTCAAGCTGAACAAACAATGCAGTTAGTTATTTTGCTCAAAATCAACTTGTTTATACTGGTGCAACACGCTGGCTCTTCTGGGAACCTTAAATTACATTTAAATCACTGTTTCTGCCTTCCCACTGCCAGCATCCCTCCCCTCGTTTGACCACCGTGTGCATTACAAGCAGAAGGACACAATGAAGCTGCCCAGTTCCAGTGTCGCTCCATCTACCATTTCCCGGAAGGCGCAGGCAGAGCCGGGAGGATGACTCTTGCTCAGCCAGACGAGTGACAAACCCCAGCAGGCTGCACAGCGTCAGCCCGGGCGAGAGCCGCAGCAGGCCGGATTGGCCAGCGCCGGCTGAGCCCATGCTTCTCCCCACCCAGCACGGCCCATGAACTGGAACAACCCATCACCCAGCTGGGCGGAAATGTCAAGTGCATACCATACACACAGCTGACCTTAATGAAAAGAAGAAAGAAAGAAACCCAACCCCCAAAGAGGCAAAACATGCTGGTGCGTGCCAACAGTCACGCACTCCTTTCAAAGGCTAGAAGATACTGGCAGCAAAAGGGAATCCTAGGGAAGAGCAGAGGGCAGAGCTCAGTCAGCACCGCTGCATGTTGATCCTGCTGCAGTCCTTCCAGTGCTTACCTGAATTTACTGTCTGTATTATCGAAAACAAGATCTTAAAACAAATGTCACATATCGACTTCAAAACTGATCAAATTTGCATAAAAACCGCTGCATAATAGGGTAAAAGATTTGAATAATGATTTTGTTCTTACTTTCTTTGATACAGACAATATAAATACTTAAAAGTGTATAAATGAATAAAATAAATTGGTTGCAAAGAACAGATGTCACAGTCACATTTGTAGGTAGCACTGTAACTTCATTTCTAAAGGAATCTGGCTAGGCAGAAGAGATTTAACAGACAATCAACCCTTCACCATTTGAAGCACACCTCTGACTTTACAAGCAGTTGCTGGCATATCACCAGGCCCTAAGAGTTGCTACACGCTGAATGAACTAAATAAATGAAGTTATTAGCCAGGATACATGTCTTTGGGAAGAGGGGACACACAACCAGCCAGCCAGCTGAGACAGAGACATTAAAGTGCCCCTACGGACTAAGCTCTCCGCTTTCCACCCCCTCCTCTTCTGTAATAGACGCGAAAGGCCGGAGCGAGAGCGCAGCCGTCCCAGCGGAGCCCCGTCCCGGCCGGGGCCGGAGCCGCTCGCTTACCGGCGGGAGGCGGCGAGCTGCAGCGCGCTGTAGGGGAAGAGGCGCAGGCAGGCGGTGAGGTTCCCCTTCCAGAGGGCCCGCACGCCCTCGGCGCGGCACAGGCTTTGCCCGGCGCCGC